GACCCACATTACTACCCTCTTTTTTACCCATCATCCACTTACTAACTATATATATATATATATATATGATAGCTTTAACAAAAAGCTTGGGGAGAAAGGACCCTGGCTCGGACCACTTCATCATTTTCTCCTAGCAAATGTGGTGATGTTCGGCATTTTCAGCATTGATGATGATTTTTCCTGGCCGATTATTCAAAAACCGGTGATTTCTGGAATCAGTGAATTTTAAAAAATCATCATAAATTGTTGTTTGGCATCATTTATGCTATGTAAGCAGATTTTTGAGAAATTGGCTTTGAATTTGTTTGGTAATAACTTTCAAGGGTCGATTATTTTTGTATTAGAGTTATTATTCAATGCCATGTTGGATGTCATGTCATCCTCAAAAAATCGGAATCAGATAAAAATCTGGTAAGAAAATGTGATCCTTGAAAAGGGCTGATTTCAATAATTGATTTTTAGTTGATTTTCTAGAAATTAGCAGAATCAGCCAACCAAACAAGAAAAGAAATCACTGATTCTTCAAATTGTGATGTGGTGCTGATTTCTGAAAAATCATCATCGATGCCAAACATCACCTTTGTGGCTTCACGCCCCTTGGAATTGTTATTTTCAGATGTTTGGGGTCTAGCTCCAATTTTATGTAAGGATCGTTATTAATTAGTATTTGAAATTTTTCATAAGAATGTTGGGAATTTCTTGGATCATAAAATTAAAACTCTTCAAATTGACAGTGGGATAGAAATAAATTGTTCCTTACTCTTGAGATATCTAGAATCAGTCTTCACCATTCATGCCCCCATTCTGCTCCAACTCCAAGCGCTACACGTACATTGGTTATAGTCCCATCATAAGAGGTATGATGTTTGGACATGGAAATGGGGTGTGTTTACATTGCCCATAATGGGTTATATTTAATGAAACTAATTTTCCTATGGCTGAATCCTCATCTTCTTAGTTGCAAAGTGGAATTTCTACTAGGGTGGCCATTGGACCCCCTACAATTGTTTTTCCTTGCACTACTTCTATTAGGCCTGTTGATGGGTTTGTTGGGCCTATTGTTGATTCAGATAGGACTTTGTCCTCTTTAGGAGCTGTCATTGCCTATTACTAAGCCCAATCATGGACCTCCCTCTCCATGATCTCACTTTGGGCCTCCATTTGCAATGGCTGAGTATACTTGGGCTGTATCAGCTTCAGTTAATGTTCATCACATGGAATTGCGGGCCAAAATGGGTATTTTTAAGCCCACCATGTGATATGCTCTTGATGCTTCTCCTACTTGAGAAGTTGAGGCCACTTCTTGTTCTATGGCCCATCAGGATTCCTGCTGGGCTTGAGCAATGGATGAGGAGTTTCAAGCCTTAGTGTGAAATCACACCTAGGAGTCTAGGACCTAGTTCCTTCATCTCACAAGAATATTATAGGAAATTGATGGGTATTTAAGATTAAATGCCATGTTGATGGCAAAGATTGAACGTTTCAAAGCACGACTTTGGCCAAAAGCTTTACACAACATAATGGTCTTGACTATCATGACACCTTTAGCCATATTGTTAAGCCCACAACCATTTGGTTAGTTCTATCAAATGTGATGGGATGGATCTTAGACAGATCCATGTGAGCTATGCTTTCTTAAATGGGCACACACTTTGTGAAAGAAGTATTTATGCGGCAACTTACAGGTTTTATGGATCCATTGTGTCCCAATTGTGCGTGCTCTCGTTATGGCCTCTCTCTACTTAGGAGTTGACATTGGTGTTGATATCTTAACAATTCTTGTATATGTGGATTATATACTTAATTATTGGCTATGTCAAATTGTCCATTCAGTCTCTCACCTCTCAATTACTCTCTTCTACTTTTGCTCTTCAGAATCTAGCTGGTGTCTAGGGATTCGAGCTCAAAAGTTGCCTAGCTTACTTTTGCCCCACTTTTCCCATTGTGTTTTATAGTGTAAACTATTTTGGTGAAAGGTACCTTGAGCCTGATTCCAAATAGAAGCAACTTCTTGGTTAAGCCCCTCTTCATGTATCTAAATAGGTTCAAAACGAGGATTGGTCCTCTTCAACACCCTCTCATCATCATCACCGGCCCTCACACCCATTTAACCACATGAAAGTGAAAAGGACCAGAGCCCCTGCACCCTATGTCAACAACACCACATCTGTGCATCATGCTCTTGAAATGGTTCGCTTCAGTTGTATCAGCTCCAAGACCACCAAGCTTTTCTCCTTTATGGGCTATTTATTGCATTCATAAACCAGGGATTTGTGATGTTTGCACCCAAATAATCAATAAAGCTTATTCCACACTCCGTGATCTTCTTTTCTTTCTTTCAAAGGATGCATGGCCATATACTACACCTACGAAATCCCATACTACTCAAAATGTAAGGGATAGTTAGAAACTGAGGCATGTATTAATTACATGCATGAGATGAGATGAGATGGAATGGAATGGCAGTGAGAACATTCAATGTTACACCCCCATCTCTAGGCTAACCAAATACCACCCGACTAACCTTAATTAAAACGATGCAAATGGACGCATTTGGTCTTGTTTTGGGGAGGAGAAAATTTAGGTAGTGAACTTGTCGGCCAGTTCATCAATGGTTCTGTATGTATCTTGCTTGCTTGCTTCTTCTTCAGATGTGAGTGTCTAATTTGGATGCTTGCTTCCTTGGACTGTTCCCCAATCACAGTGGCTTTTCCTCTTCTTTATCGTAGAATATTCCATTCGAATGAAAACAGTATATACTATTAGATCCAGAATCCCACTCCAAATTTGTGCTAGCAGCTCCTACCCCTTGAATCCTTGATGTTGTTGTACAGCATCTAGATTCTAGACTAGAGGGCCCCAACCCACCCAACTGAGCTGTCAGTGGCATGATGAACGGCTGTTAAGACACGCTACTCATGCTTCTCTTTTTTTTACAACATACTACAACTAGCTAGGGTACCCGAACCATTTGAAGATTTTCCGCTGCATCTGAGCTGTTGGGCCCTTTCAAATTTTCACAAGTGCTCAACCCTGATCCACCCAAAGTTGCACCTTCAATATTTCCTATCTGTTATAATGTTTGAGACGATGGAAGGAAAATTTTGAAAATAGGAATGAAATCATTCAAAGGGGAGTGGTTTGAGCCCACCCAACTCTTTTTTATGAAAACACCCACGGTACTGTTTTCATCATTATAATTAACATAGAACTTCTTTATCTTTTAACACAAACACTCGCAGAGAGAGAGAGAGAGAGAGGAACCTGATTACTAAAAATTGGATGTGCACAAACCATTCCCTATGATATCTTATAACAAGGTGCTACCTTTCTTAGGTAGAAAGTTTTTATCATATTCAAGGGTGGGAAGCACGAAGCAGTATCCCTTCTTTAAAAAGATAGAAGAAAATTAAGGGGTTTTAAAACAGGTAATAGCTCTCAATTACTTGATTATATGGAGTGAATAAAACAAAGTTTTGGAGAATATGAAAAATATTGTATTTAGAAAAGGAGAGAGGGGTACTCAATTCTTGTTTATACTTTAGAAGGAAGTTATATGTTCTTGGACTTTTGGGTGTTATTGAGTCTGCACATGAGAAAGTTAGACACAGGTGATTGAACAGGTGTCCAGATATTATTGACGACACAGCCCTGTCCACAGCATAGTGGGCACAGCAAAACGTGTTTCTTCCCATCTCCTCCATAACCCGTACCCCAGCAACAGTTGATTTTGTTCAGTTTCTTGCAGATTAAGGGGTGAATGATGACATTTTGCAAAGACTATTGTCTTATGTTATATAAAACCTATTATTTTCATTAATCCGGATTTTACATTGTCAATTATGAATAATAATCCTTCGTTCTGTAAATTGCCTATATGGTCAATGGGCCACCAAGGTACCATTTTATTGGAGATCAATTTGACGGCCTTGAGATCAATTTGCCAACCCACCCAATGCCTTCAAAATGTGTGCAACCACACTCAATGAAAAAATGAAAAACTTAAAAAGGCTTCTTAGAATGCAAGGGTTTCGACTATGATAGCGGAGAAATTTATAACCAATCAACTGGTATAATAAAGTGGTAACCAATCAGGTGGTTTTTATGAAAATTCAATGGAGGCGTTTTGATTGGTCAATTCCCTTCTCGTATCACATCTTTCGATTTTTCCGTAATAAAAATGTATGGGAAAAGGGGATATCCTTAAGACCATGATGGAGGGTGAAGGATTTCTCAAGAATATCATTTAAGATCACCAAAATGGTTTTGCAAAGTTGCATCAACCTATAAAGTTCTATCATAGAATCACAAGAGCTTTGGAATCATTAGGAGGAAATTTCGTTCCACTCTATCATGAGCTTTGAATTTATACATCTTTAGCATGAACCATCCATCTCTCTTTTTCTTGATATTCTCATATAATAAAGGACTTCATAAGCAATAATCCATTATTTGAATTCTAGGAATAAATGCAACGTAGAAGGCAGATTTTTTTTTTTTTTTTTAATCAGGAACCAACGACCTAGTCATGGAGCAGTCTTGCCTAATAGCAAAGTGGGCAAGCCCGTGGGCTGCCCTATTACCAGCACAAGATGTATAGTTGAGCTCTAACAAGGAAAAGGAGGAGATTAGCCTTCTGCAGTCTTGAATCCGTGAGAATTCTCCAAGGAGGACCTGATCTGAAATTGATTAGCATGGAATATAATTTTGTAGGAAACATGGATTAACCCAATAGATCTAAAAGTCGCAGCAAGTTTTTTTTTTTTGGTAGAAACATTTTTTATTTCTGGGATTAGGAGCAAGTATATAATTAAATAATGAATTCTTTAAGATAATTTTCATTGTTCACCACGGAGTTGATTTGGGCCCTTGTAGATGTGAACTGGTCCAATTCACAGGGTGTGATGTGGATCAGTCCACACCTACCAATTTTTAATCCACACTACAAAACACCCACTTAGTAGATCAATCAATCATTATAGACATTAGAGAGAGAGAGAGAGAGGCTAATGCTGATCCAAGAAAAACCTTTGAAGGCACCTAAAAGACTAGAGAGCCGAGGCTTTGATAAAATACAGGCCTCATCTCTTCTTCATTTCATATCCCACTTTTCCCTCTTTACATTATATAACCACACACCTACAAGCAAGCGTATAACAAGTTTGTTCCCCCAAAACTACATCAAACACCTTCGGATTCGCTCATTTCCTCCATTGAAAAGAAAAAAACAGAAAAAAAAAAAAGGAAAGAAAGAAAAACAACCCCTTCTCCCGTTTACCTTACTCCTGGATAAAATTGAAAAAAAAAAAAGGCAAAACAACAAAGGCACCCACTACGCAAGTCAAGAACCTCGGGGTACCTTTTACCAGTATGGATGTAAGTCTTCACTTTTCAGGGTCTGAAAACCTTTGAATATCCCATCCACATACAGTTATGCCCCACTTCATACTGACGAGTGATGAGGAACTTGGGCCAACCTAAACAGCTGCTTCCCTCAGAGGTCGGTTAGCGTTGGGTTCACGAAAGGCTAAATATATTAGTCAGTGACTATGTGTTAGAACCACCTGAGAGACATGCTTGTCATGGCAGACAAAAACCAAACCCGCTCGCAACATGTCTGGAATCAAGAGAACTATAGTATGAGAAAGCTCACTGCAGGCCATCGGCATGACCAGTTGCAGGAATGGAAGCTTGGTGGAAAGTGTTCCGCACCATTATATTGCCATTGTCAATGCCTTTGACTGCTGTGGAACCGCTTTTAACGGTTTGCTCTAGCAGGCTAACCAGCGAAAGAAATATTTCCATCCTTGTAACATCCCTGTCTGCCTGTACAGAAAGCAGAAAATGAATACACCTAGCATAGCCAATCATTAAAAAAGAAAACCAACAATAGCATAAGATGGAGAAGACAATGTGAACTGCTTGGTATATGTTATGTGCCTTGGGAGAACTCACCCCTAAAAGCTAGATGTTAAAGGGAGGGAACCCATGCACATATATACTCCACAACAGCATCCCATACTACCAATGTGGGATACCTCACATTAGCATCCCATACTACCGACATGGGACAAATGGATCATAACAGTATACTTACCAGAAAAAAATTTGGTTTCGGATGCAGGGATTACCTACTTCAATGACTTCAATAAGCAGATTGGACTCGATAATTTCACTCGATAACTTGAGGAATATAATGTTATGGGCTTGACTATACCAGAAAAACTAATAACTAATCAACAGGTATCATAAAAATGGTAACCAATCCAGCGGTTCATTAAAATTCACGCAGGGGGTGACTGGTCAAAGTTCTTCTGGTATCATGTCTTTGTGGCTTGGGATACAGGAATTTGGAAGATCACAATTTTGATAGATGAAGCACATTTCATGTGAAAAGACAGTTACCCTCTACTTAACCATTACTACCATGCAAGTGAAGCAACTTTCCTAGAATCTCCACAAGGATTGACTCCCAATTCTTCTCCATTTATTACCCCCTCATAAAAAATACATTCAGAAAACTAATAAAAATTTCTCAGGGGGAACAAACCATAAATTTCCCTAAAAAATAAAAAACAAGGCAAATTTGCAATTGTCAAAAATGATCGAAATAGTTATCCTGTAAGGTCATCCATATATTTCCCCAATATAACTGCCCTCCCCACATCTACCCCCTTGTAATTATCTACTCTCACTGTCTCACATGACCACACCTCAGTACCAGAAATGACCCCCCCCCCCTTCTTAGTTACTCTAGTAACAATATAAATGAAGATATTGGGACCTTATCAAAATTGGTGTGTGCCATATTACCACCATTTCTACACGTAGGTTTTTGTATTAATGTTTCATGTACTAAAGAATTGTAATATAGCTTTTTAACAAATAATTTTCATGAATACATTTGTGCAGTCCAAGGACCATAAAAAATACAGGTAATGTTTTGGACATGTACCCCAAAAACATATGATGTTCACCTAACTACCAAATTGTGACTCATACTAGCATCCAACAAGTCTGCATTATAAAAGTCTAGCCAGTTCAAGTGCAAGATACAGGACCCACTAAACCACAACAATGAACAATGGGCACCTAATTCATAATGTACAAGTATCAAACTGGGAAGATAACAAATTATGCAGTCAAGGCTACTGAGAATATCTTACCTCTACTGCAAAGCGTGCCCAGACCTTGTCATTTCGAGCCTCCATCACCCCCTTCAGAATGGTCAATCCCAACCCTCTAATTATATCAGCTATCTCTAGAAACAATCCTCGTTCTTCACAAAGCATCTGCAGGAAAAAGAAAAGAAAAATCAGATGCAAATTTTGAATTCAGAAGGCACCAGTCTAAATCTTCTAAGACGGTGATAGCCATTACCTCGACAAGCATTTGACGAGGTGGATTTAGGTCCTCTACAATGATTGGGCAGATCATAGACTGTGAACCAACTTCAAATGCCCATGTTGCCCCTCCCTCAAAGTTGTCCTTCAAGAGTAGACCACCTTCCTTGTTGATAATCTGTACAATCAGGCAAGAACAATACATACCATATCAAAATACTTCCTACTGGCTATTGGCAATTTGGTACTCCGATCATGATGTATATCATTTGTGAATAGAAAATGAATCATATGATAACAACTTCTGGCAAAGTAAGAAAAAGTGGCATTGTCATACCATGCATGTAATGCTGTAAACCAACTTATGTCGTGGATTACAATTTACGGCATAAAAGTAAACAATTATTATTTCAGTTTCCTTGAGCTACTAAAAGTGGCATTCAATGTTCCTTGTTGACAAATGTCTTCCACTTGTAGAAACTCTAAACTGCACATTCCTCTATTTTTGGCATCTAACATTATTTCCGTTCTTTATTTGTTAGAAACAGCATTTCAAACACAAAATATCAAATGTTGGATGCTTTTAACTGGAATAGTTACGTATTAAGACAAACTAAACAAAAAAAAATGGTTAGAAATGGCAAATCTAACCAATGAGTAATACACCGTACACACCTTGGACTCCCCAGTTTGTTTTAGCTTGTCTGCATGCTTTGTCACACTTTGCAAGAAAAGCATGTGCTTGATGGTGCGTTCTAGTAGAGCATCGATGCTACACTGTTCAACCAAGTTAGAAGATAAAGTGTCAATACCTGTGAGAACTACAGTGCAACAATAATGGAGCTGGAAAAAGCTTACTATTTAACAAAAGAAAAAAAAAATAGCATGTCACCTTTGTTCCATTTGGTACAATTTCCCTTAATTCTTTCACACGGTCTTGGATCATTTGACGATCTTTAGGCCTAGGTCTAGGGTTCTCCCCTGGTCTAAGCCTTTTACGATTTGGTTTCACTAATTCATCTGGCTTTTTAGAATGTGCGGTTGAAATACTATTATCATGCTTTAAATTACGACTGTCTTCAACCCATAAACTGATTGGTGATCTATACATGGAATTAACTTGAGATTCCTCAGCATTATCCTTGCTACATCCAGATTTAAAAGAGCTTGATCCCACCATCTCTGATTTAGAAGCTGTTGGAGGAAGACCAAACATTTCAACTTTCGTTTTATCAGGCAGACCAACCCTGCTGCACGAGGAATCTGTAGGGATTGAAGAGTTACTTATCTTTGTCAATGTTGTCCGACATGACACATTATCATCTGAATTTTGATTGGCAGAAGAATGAACCTTTGATACTACAGCATCCAACAGATGGTCAGACCTGGTTTCAGAGAAGATTCCACCCTGTGAGACCCCATCATTCACTGAATAAAAATTAGAACCAGCATCGAGCTCAGTTATGCACACGGAAGAATCTGTACCAAAACTCCATAAAGATGCATCTGATCCATTAATAAGACAATCATTCCAACTACCACATGCCAATTTGCTCTTAAAATCTAGACCCAAGATATCGAACAAGTCCTCCCCTGAAGCAGGTTGAACACAAACATCTTCAAAAACAGTACCTTGGGATGTTGGGATTTTCTTATCATGTTTCTGACCACTCACCAAGCACTCTTGAAGAAAACCAGGTGTAGACCCAGACCTAGAAAGGTTCTCCTCTGGATGGACTGCTGGGAGATCAAGGGCTTGAAATAAATCATTCTCTACTCCCTGTAGTCTTGCAGGGAGTTCAGCTTTGCTACGTTTATCAACAGCAACAGTGGAATGGCCTTGATGGGAACCACCAGGAAGCACCTCACCACTATTCAATAGATTTGCCTGGTTGGATGATAGAACCACACCTGTATTAGATGAATTACCAAACTGAAAACCAATTCCCTCTTGAGGTGTGCAAGAGGAATTGCTGTCAACATTTCTACATGGAACTGATGTTAGCGTCTGCAGGCCACATCCAGCATTAGGTAACTCACGTCCTCCAAGCAATGAGGTAACAACAGAATCTTTCAGAGAATCAGGGGGTAAATCTCCATTTATCCTTATCTGTGAACTAATGTTACTGGACACAGATGATCGGTTGTTTACAGGCTCCAGTAATCCACTATTTGACAGGATCTGTTGTTCCAAAAATGTAAGACCATTATCAGTTACACCTGATTGGCCACCAGTAGGTTTGTGATGAGGTCCAGATCTTGTATAGTAAGCAGAAGCCTGCTGATTTAATGTTCCATCTGAACTAGAGAGGATCACTTGGGAACCTAGTGCTCTGGTTTCTAGTTGACTTCTCAGAATAAGATCTGCATTCGATGATGGAAAAATGTTTGACTGGACAAGGACATTAAAAGATTTGGCCACAGGAGAAATCATGGTAAGGGGTATTTGTGATGGTAAAGCATTAGCTTGCATGTTATCCTGAGCTTGTGTACTTAATGAGTGAGATGGATGACTAACAATTTTTGAAGCCCGAGATATGGCTATCTGTTGGTTGCAGTTGTCACCATTAAGTGGTGCGAACTTTTCCATTTTAGATGATGAACCCCTAGCTGGTTCAGACAAGACATGGGTTTCAAGAGAGGTGATGGCTCCAATATTTTTTCCAGGATCAAGCTTCATGTAGCTATCAGATAAAAGTGCACCAGGAACACCACCTAATTGCAGGAACAAGCTCTTCACACTATCTACAAATTCCATATCCTCCATTATCTGAAGCAACAGGAATAAATGCATAAGTTCTCTGAGGGCCTTTTATGCAGTTAACAATTGAACAATGAATCTCTGAACATTAAAAGAAAAAAAAAAAAAGAAAAAAGGAAAAACAGAGAAGCATGCACCACAATTTTCTGACAGTGAAGTTGCTTAGAGATTGACATCAAAATTCAGAATATAACTCAGAAAGAGCATACTCTATGCATCTACAACTTAATATCCTTCATAGAATGTGGCACTGTTCCTCACTATGACTATTAGGCCCATGCTTTTAATTGCCAAATATCATTGATTGATGATATAAAATAGGAGCTTTGATGGGACATTAAAAGAAAAAGAAGAAACCTTAAGGTCATCATTTCTAGAACCGCATAAATCATAGATGATCTTCACTATTGGACAGCTTACAGACCTTTTCTTAACAGATTGCAGCCCTTTGATTTTTTTTTTCTTTTCTTCTCATAAAATTACAATATTTTTAGTGGCACACAAAAAGAAAATAAAATCTGGCTAGGATCACCAACATGTAACAAATTTCAGACTACAACCCATCCAAAGGTTCCTATTGTTTGGAACGTTCAGTGTAATAAGTGAGAGTCCACTATTTATGTAGCTGGGAAAATAATTTCATTACTAACTAAACATGCAAATTGAGAAAACAGTATCCTCAGCAAAAAAAAAAAAAGATGATGATAAAAGTGGCTTCAGCATCCCAGAGATTCATTTTTCATTTCGTATTCAATAAATGGATTTAAGAACTACCGTGAGGGTGGAACCAAGTTGAACAACACCATGTGGAAGTACAGGAATAACTGCAATTGTCTGCAAAAGTTCAAATAAAAAACAACATTCAGAGTAAGTTGGAGAGAGTGAGAGACAAAGGATAAGGGGGAAAGCAGGAAGCAGTCATACCTGCATGCCAGATAAAAACTGATGGTGAACCTCAGCCATAACCTAAAAGCACAAGGAAAGACATGTTACATGACACCTATCCTCAAAACCTAGATACAATGATATAGATTACACCAATCTACCAACATGGACAGCATGATGAAGTGTGATACTACAAATCTTTTCTCCCATCATCTAGTATGTTATCATTTCAATCTCTCTGGTTATTAGATCTAAATTGATATATTATAAATCTTTGAATCGTCTCTTTTTAGCTCCCTATCTAGGTAGCAGTCCACTAACAGAGAAGTATGGAGGAAAAAGTCGATGTGCCACAATTTTCATTGTTGATGATGCAGCTCACTTTCATAGAATAGAATCTAGAATTTTAAACGCCAGGAGTTTCAGAAATAGTGCAAGCAACTATTCCAAACCACTCATTATCTCTAGTCAGTGACATCACAGTCAAAAGTTAATTCCAGAAGCCTATTGAAAATGTTCTCTTCATATATGCTCCTCTCTGGTTTTCATGCAAGTGACTCTGCTGAACCACCAAAGAGGAAGTGGGTTTCTAAATGATGATCATAGAAAAATAAAATACAATCATGATTTCCTGAAGATCTTGAGCACACAGTTTTTGCATAAACTTGCACCTTGAAATGCAACTCTCTAAAAAATAAGTTAAGCAACCAGGTTTTACTCAACAAAAGTTGAAATATTTTGCAAATCCTTCAGTCAGTTCCAAAAAGTAGTTGAAGTAGTACCTCCGATGGATGGGCTACTCCCAAGCAGTTTCCCGGAAGAATCCATAGATGAGCTCCTGTAAAAGCAGCCCTTCCAACAATTCTGAAACAAAAACAAACAAGTATGGAACTCTTATTAAGACTGCTTGGTCATTTCATCTTCCCCGGCAGCAAGCAAAAGCACTAAACATACAGTACTCTAATAAACTCCAAAAAGAATACAAATGAAAAAGCCCACCTACCCTTCCCCTACAACATGAACCTGACCATTAATTATCATCTTGTTAACGAGGGAACAGACTCTATCATCCACTTGAGGCCGAGAGGGCTGACCTTCCGAAGCACTCCCAAGCCCTTCCCATTCCTTACTGAGTAGTTCTGTGCCCTCGTTTCCAGAAATGCCTGGAAAAGCAGAAAGCCGTGCAGGCTCGTAATAACATTCCTCCCAAACCAAAAGCCTGCAAAATTAAAACCTTTTCCCTCAAGCTCAAGTAGAAAAGCATCATTAAAGAAAAAGCAGAAAAAAAAAAAACGGCACTTTTTTTATGACAAGAAAAGAAAAACAATACACTCCAAGTAAGTGTTATGATGATGGGAAAAAAACGCTAGGAGAAGCAGCACTACAATCTAACCATGAATAAACATAACCACTTTATTATATTCCATAACAGTATTTTAGAATTTAAAAGGGGAAATTAATTTCAAAAGAAAAGGTTAGGGCTTGAAAGCTTCATCCTCTAAACCGAAAAATCAAGCTTTTCAGATTTTAAACCGGATAATGACAACTAAAAGAATAAAAAAGGAATCATTCATCATTCATCATTCACAGTAGTCCCAAAGAATAGATTAGCTCGTCGAAATCAAATTTATTCGAGGTACAAACACATCGGATTCATCTAAATCCACTTTTTCACTTAGATTCTCGAAGGCAAAACAGAACAAATATAACATTCCAAAAAAAAAAGAAAAAGACGTCAGATTACAAAGCAAAAAAGGAATAACAGTGATCAATAAAGCAAACCTGTCAAGGTAACGTAAAGATGAATCAATCTAACAACACAAAGAAAGCAAAACAAACAAACAAAGAAAGAAACCAGCTTTGTCCGGAATCCTAACTGATCAAAGTAGAAACAAAAAGCAAAGCTCACATCAATAAATAAAAAAGAATAAAAGAAAAGACGGAATGCAGCTCAACTTACGTCGGATTCCGGCAGCCGATCTTCCAGAAAACCGCATACGACCATCTATTCACGCCGCAGAGACACTTCAGAGCTTCTTTCAACAAAAGCCCCATCCCCCCAGCGGCAAAATCGAAATCTCTAATATAAGAACCAACTAACGCAAGCAACTGAAACAACGAACAGTACCTCACTGCCGGATCCAGTACATTATCCGGCGGCCTCTTTCCGGTCTAACTCCCACGGCACGATCCTCTTCCTGCTTGTTTCGTTCTCAAACCACCACTCCTCTTCCTCGCCGGCTCCAAATTCCCAGCTACCATTTTCCGGCATCCCATCCGAGTAAGGAGAACCGAATATAGAGAATGGAAAGAAGAAAAGTAGAAGAAGAAGGAGCTATAAAGAAAAATCGCCAAACTACAAAGGAAATAAGAGAGCAGGCTCAGCAAGCCTACACTATGCCACAAGCTCTAATCATGTAGCTCGCCATGATCTTCACCATGGAGCTCAACGATGGAAATTACGAATTTAAAACGCAAGAAATATCAAAAAAAAAAGATTTCCTTTTAAGAAAAGGATTGAAGCTTCCAACTTCCTTGTTGCTGTCTCTCTCTCTCTCTCTCTCTCTCTCTAAGTCTAAGCTGGAGAGGTCGTCTTCGCAGCTTCGCTTTCTGGTTCAAGTGATTCTCTCAGATGCTAATGTGCTAAAATGCGCTTTATTTAATCACAAACTCAGAAACACGACATCTCATTGAAAGTACTCCCACTTTATTTTGAAATTTCGATAATGCCATCATTTTTGTCGTTTTTGTTTTTGGGACCTGTTTGGTGGGAGATTTCAGGCTTCAGACCGTCAGAGGAGATGTTAAAAGCCGAACTCGTAATACGGTAGTGCTAGTTACTGTCGTGCTGACGTAACCTATTATTACCCTTGAACTTGAATGAAATTACGAGAAGAGCCATTTCTTAAATTATCTAATCAAGAGATAATCGTGATTAAGTTTGAATAATACCGAGATCGGCTTCAATCAATGCAAGGCCCGTTCGAACAATCTTTACAGCCTTGCATCGAGAACATCTCCGCACTTTTATGCTTTATTTTATGGGGAGATATTCTCAATGCAAAGCTATGATGGATGGTTGTTTGAACGGGCTTTGCACTGACTGAATCCCATTTCTTTTTTCTCTGGTGTTCTATTCTTTTTGGGGGGATTTTATATGGTGTGGTAAACTGTAGATTGGCTGACATGCCAGGTAATGTCCTCACCTTTTGATTAAATTACTAATTTTTACTTTTTCGATGGTTGTGATGCTTCTATTCCATACTTTATTTTAATCATCATTTTCTAATGCGGGGTGGTTGGTGCTTGGTGGGCGTGCGTGTGAGCCCTTGAGGGAGAGGGAGGATTCTTGATTTCTTTCCAGGTTAGACTAGACCCTCCCTGGGAGATGAGATTTGACAGTTGAATTGATGGGGACCACATGATCAATTGATCAGAGGGGACGGCCCACTGGATGGACAGCTGAGATGGGGTTTGATTGTTGGGGAATCAGTTCTGGTGAATCGGAGGAAGCAACAATCTCCGAGGCCTAGTGAGTAGTGAGGGAGGGGGGGGACTGCGGAGGACATGAAAAGGCGGAGACATTAGTTGGAGACACATGAGGGTGTGTTTGTTTGCTTTATTTTATTTATTTTTTACTGATTGTTTTTGTGGGGAATTGGGAAAAAGATTCCTATTCAATTCAAACACACATATAAGTTTGTGCAGTTTAACTGAGAAGTGAGGATGTTGGTGGGCTGTTATTGGGTGTAAAAGGTAATGTAAATATATAATATTGCCATTGTGTTTGGCCGCTGGATATGGCATCACATTTATCAATCAGTCAAACGTGAAATAGAGGCCATTTATTTCGAATCTAGCATGGATGGATCATATGAGAACAGTTGTAGCATATGTCCAATGAATTATGTCACTAAAAGAATCACTGAAAAATAATTTCTTTTTTTGAAGATAAGGACTAAGGTTGCATTTGGTATGCTTTCAAAGAATTAATTCTGATGAATTTAGCTTTAAGCTTGAATTTATGTAAGTTATTGGAACTAATTTTTTCCTCGACTCAAAACTCATTCCAAGAGTTGTTTCTTTGAGGCTAAAATAGTTACCTTCTAAAAATAAAAGAATTATTTTAATTCAAATTTCATTCTTCAATAGTGATTCCTTGAAGTGTAGCCAAACATAACCTAAATTTTTAGTTCTAAAGAATCAATTTTTTAAGAGTTTTGGTCCCAAAAACGAATTAATTCCGACAGTTTTCATAATTCAAACTTAAAACTATTATTCTTGGAATTACAAAATTGAAAGAATGTCAAATGCAAAATAGTAGATTTATGGGGAATAAAATCTTTTTCCACTACTTTTGTTCATTATTTGATAGACATATTTGATAATTTGTATGTGAATTTAAACATTTAAACCTTATATAAGATGATAGATGCATGGAAGGACATGGAATTGTAGGTAGGGGTGTCAATTGGACCGGTCCAATTTAATGTTTGGACTGTCCAATTTGGTTTTAATTTAAATTGATTCCAACCCAAACCTGGTCAATTAATTTACACATGTATTCCTATCTTCTATCAATGGACAAAGATATTGGTTTAATTTGATCCAAGCCAATATAAATCCATTATGGATGGATCAGGTCCAATCCAATCAAATAAATATTTTAGACCATTAAGTCTAAGCTGGTCAAATTCAATATATCTTATTGATCTATACAATCTGTCTAAATTGATTTTGATTTGTACAGCGACCCAAAACTGGTCCATTGACACCACCTAAGTGACGGGTGGACATGTTAATATAAGGGAGATGTATGTTGATTGGATTCGTATTTGGTGCATTTCTTATCTAATGAAGGGTTTAAAAAAAAAATCCCCAATAGTTTCACACCTCAATCCCATAAATATTTAATAAACTAGTGGAGGAGACAGTGAGAGACATTGATGTTTGGGTATGTAGTTTAATAGCAAACATATTATTCGAGTAGGTGGTATAATTAATGTATATCTAAATACATACTCACATATATACATGTTTTATACTGAAAAAGAATGCCCACTTTTTTATCGACAAGGTTCAAACTACCAATACATCTCATCATACTCGATTTCGGGTATTGGTGTGTATCGATATTATACATCTTATAGTTTTTATAAATATTAGAGGGGTGGAGACTCTTACCACAAAGTTTTATAGTTTTCAAAATCCTTCTGTATCGGTGTATACACTAATGTGGATACAATATGCCTAATATGAAATATATCATATCAATATTTTGATCCTTATATATATTGTTGAACACAATATATTATGCCACAAAGATCTAACATACACCAAATAATGGGATTTATTAAGTAGAATGATAACCAAATAAAAACATATTCTAGGGACTAATTTGCATTTTTGTCCTTTGTCCTCGTGTTTCCAAAATGAACTCATCATTCTAGTGAATGACAATGTAGATCACCTTTAAAATCTACAACTTGATAAATACTTGTTGAAAAAATGGCCAAGAATTAATGAAGTAGAAAACTTTAAAAGAATGAGAGAAGGAAATTAATGGAAAGTTCATGTTTGATTAGACTTCACCAATATTTGCACCACATAAGCAAGTTGTCATGCTAGGGAAGTTTTTTTTTTATTTATTTTCTAGGCCCGGTTTGGTTTGCAGGGATAAGGGTTTAGAATCGGAATCTCATTCTCATTCTTGCTGGAATGGCATTCCAACATTTGAGGAAATGGCCATTCTCTGTCCCTTCCTTGGGAATGACATATCATTCCTGTTTATTCTAATTCTTATTCCCATTCCAGTTAGCTTACAGATTGTAGGAATAGATCATTCTGATTCCTAAAGATTCTAATTCCCATTCAGACTACAAACCAAATGGACCCTTTTTTATTCATGTAAGATAGACCAAAGTAATGGTCTAATATATTAGTATAGCAAATTTAGCATGTTTGTAGGCTACGTTATTGAATCTTCTAGGTGTGTGCAAAACTAAAATATCGCAGAGTCTGGCCATGAAGCTTCTGCAATCAGCAATAGCAGTGTTAATGCACGATATGGTACTAGATCTTCCACCAACATAAGCATAATTTCCAAATCCCTTCCAAGCAACTATTTTAGTTGATGACATAAGATCACAAGTCATATAGGTTTAATAAAACTGCAATTAAAAGGGAAATCAATCCCTTATAGTCATTTAAGTTTCTACATACACAATCCATTTAGCAAAGGTGATCATAGCCTGTCCTTATTTATGTAGCATTTGGTAGTGTGTAAGTATTGTGGATGGGATTGTTTTGGTCTTGTCCATAATAAGATATGGTGTTAGACTGTCCACAAAATAGCATAGATAGGGACGGGCCACACCCCAATTTATCATCCACAGTATTTTCAGTGTAACGCACCTGTGTAACGCCCTTTCATTTTATTTAATCTTTTAATAATTTTTAAATTTTTAATATTTTATCAATAAAATAAGAATTTTTAATGTTAATTATAGCACAAATCCGACGGTTCTCCTTCTCAACTCTTTTTTTATTATTTAAATATTAAATTTTTAATATTTTTATCAATAAAATAATATTTAAAATATTAATTATTTTTTATTTTTTTAATATTTAAAATAATATTTTTTTAATTATTTAAAAATGCAACTGTTGTTTACATATTGATGCCTTTTTTCAATTTATTTACCATATAAAATTCAAAAATTAGACACTTATGATCGATTGTGTAGATCTCCCATAAAATGTATATGAGATACATAGAATAAAAAAGTGTAGTGTAGACTGGTCCACACCACACCTACAGAATGCCATCGTGGGTGTGGACTGGTCCGGTCTACACAATCTATCCACACTTCAGAATAGCTGTGGACTGTGGTGTGGTGTGGATTGGTCCCTACAATAGGGTGTGGTGTGAACCAGTCCACACTCACCAATTTCTCATCCACACTACAAAACACCCCCTTAATTTATGAGTCTAACTACGGTGCACTCACTGATAATTGTTTTACCTTAAATCAAAATTTTGATCAATCATTTTAAATATGTGGCATGGTTTAATTACTTTTCATTGATTCACATTTCACGAGGTAACTTACCATTAAAACTTTAATACTACCGTTAAAAATGTCAATTGTAATTAGATATGTTCATCGGTCGGGTAGCTTGACGATCTAGCTTAGCCCGACCCATTTTATAACAAGCTTGGATAAATTTTTAAGCCTACAGGCTTGGTCTTCCCAAATACTCCCAACCTAATCCCGAGCCAAGCCTGATCCAATAATATTATATATAATAAAAATATGTGTTTTATTAATATATAATATATAATATATTATTAATAGCAAAAAAGTACTATATTATATAATATATAATACATTATTAATAATATATAATTAATATATTATAAGCTTCTTGTTTAGATCGAGCTCAGGTTCAAGATCTAGGCTTGATGGTTGGGTTGGGTTTAGGCTCAGGCTTGGCCATTGTTTATTTATAAAGAGGCAAAACCCAACTACCTCGACCCATGAAGCCATTTGGTAAGTCTTTTTTGAAAGATTTTCTGGAAGCTCTAACAATCAAAAGACAATGTGAGCTTTTGCATCAAGATCTTAATAGCTTGAAG